GAACTCAATCTACTCAGTGTAGGCGAGCTTTCGAACGCAGAATTTAATTTCTAGTGCCCGACAAGCTCTGCCCTCTGCCACGTGCGGTATGTTGTCTGTGCAACGACAGACTCGTGCGCATTGCTGGAACATCATTGCAACTTTTAGAATTCCGGTTCTCCCTTGAGCGCTGTTCCTTCAAAATTGGAAAACGCATCCTGCGTAAGCATGACTCACTAGGAGCTCTCGATCGGGCGGAAGACGCTCAGAACTTTGAAATTTTAGTAACCCTAGCAGCTCCGTACGACTTGACCTGAATAGGAATAAAGAAAAGCAAAATTCGGAATATTGTTAAATCTACTGCGCACAGACAAACTAAAATAAGGCCTTTCAATTCCAACGCTGCAGTTGCGTCTTTGCGAGGGTTCTGACAACTTTTACTTGAATGCGTCCTCATGCAAACAAAGTGTCAACGTCCGGCCAAAGGTTTCGCGCGTCACAAATTGAGTTTCGTGGATTGAAGCGTGCTTGCATCCAACGTAAGGTCCGTAAGGTACGCGAATCCTAGGACCTTCACCCGAGTTGAATAAGTGCTTGAAAATTCAGTGAAGCAGTTTTTTTGAAAAGATGTGACTTTTTATGCATTTTGAAGCAAAAAATACAATTGAAGTCTCCTTCTCAGAAGGCGATAGCTCCCGGATGTAATAAAAGTTTCATGTTTTATGCTGTAACTATGCAAAAAATTTCAGGGTCACAGAGTGTAATTTTGCTTGAATATAGGGGGTGGCTTAATAGCTGTGACCAGCCTCTGGAACTCGATTTTTCAACATTTTTCTATTTTTCTCCGAATAAAATTAATGAAATTGGAAGCCGTTCTGGACTGTGATCTATTGTTAATCTACGATTTCTGCAAGGAAGGGCAAATTACTCTGATTATTTAGGATGGCTTTAAAGCTATGGCCAGCACTGTAATTGTCCTATATTCATGGCAAATATTAAATTATTGTAGTATGCCAAACTGCACTACGCGTATATTGCGAGGGAAGGAATGCGAAAATCTGATTCTTACTATTAGATCTTAGTTGTCATGAAATATGCCTAAGGCCTAACTTGTTTGCTTCAATCTGAGAGCGACATACTTGCTGAAAGCACCACCACTAAAAGCAAAAACGAGACAAAGCAATTTTGGCTAGCTCCTAATACCGTTAGCATTCAATTGGGGGTTTTTCACTTGGGTAGAAAAGGAGTAGTGCTTCATATCGAAAGAAAAAGTAGGTCACTTACCCTCAAAATGAAAGTTAATCATGTTAAAGATGCCTTCTTTATATTGATGAATAATTTGATCTGGGTTTTTGACATGCTAAGTAGGAAAGTACCTAGTTGTGAGTAGATTTGTAAGCCAATCGAGGTTAGTATTTATTAGTAAGTGGCGGCCTAACGTTTCGAGCTATTCGTCTTCCTCAGAGGCCTAAAGTGGTAAGAGATTTATGATTTTATGTCTATCCCACCAAAAACCTCCTCCATCTCTGGCTAGCCTCGATGTTGCCCCAGAGTGCTACAAACAAAAATTCCATAACGTGAAAGACGAACCAACCTCCTCCACCGCCGGCGCGCAAATGTTGAAAGCGGCCATTTGCCAGCGGTTTGCAGCATTCTGGGCAACGTCGAGGCTAGCCAGGGATGGAGGAGGTTTTTGGTGGGATAGACATAAAATCATAAATCTCTTACAACTTTAGGCCTCTGAAGAAGACGAATAGCTCAAAACGTTAGGCCCCACTTACTAATAAATACTAACCTCGATTGGCTTACTAATCTACTCACAACATACTAACTAACATTGCCGAGGTTAAGAAGAGAGGGAACTTGGAATCAACTAAAAAAGTAGTATTTATTATGCTTGATAAATCTTCTCTTTTATTGTACATACGTGATGATGGATCAATAAGTGCACATGTATTCGCCTACTGAGCTTAACTGACTCATGTGACACATATCACGTAATGCTGACACTAGTATCCCGTCGATTACAACTTCCACTCCTCTCTGGCCTTCTATACAACTCGCAAGATGTGGCGTGCCACACGCTTTGTCTCACACGCTTGACTCTGTCAATTACTTCTTGTCAATTCCGTAAAAGCCCGTACTGAGCGGCGTGTGCGGATGTGTGTCGCTTTTGTTGTGTTGACCAAGACGATTGGAGATAGGAGGGGCGAAGTTGTGATGTCTCCAGTCCTTTCCGCGAGTTAGACCCGCTCCTGCTTACAGCCACGCATGCACCAAAAGTTTCGGGCCAAGTTAAGCGGCGTCGTTTCAAGGTAAGCTGGACCTTCGCTGTATGGAACTGTAGGCGCTCTTATTCCAACTCCCTCCTCCCCTCCCTCCCCCTCCCCGCACGTACCTGCTTTTCTGCTACTTCCAAATTAGAAATGAAACTCACCAAGCGATGCTCAATATCCCGAATAAAATGCTAGAAAGCACTCATTTCATGCTCTACTATAAGAAATTGGTGATTTTTGGCGGAAAAGTCTTTGATAGAATAGTTATCTGGTAGGCAGTTGCTACGAAAACAATGACTATTGCGCGCGACATCTCAAAGCAAAAATCTCATTGGTTTACGAGTAAAAGTTAGAAAAATTAGTTTTCAGTCAGCTGTTGTTTTTGACGTCGTTTTCAAATAAAAATAGATTCTCTGACGATTTTTTGCATCGATTCGCCGATTTGCATGTGATACAAATCTACAAGCTTTGCAAAATCCGATTATATACAGGGTTTCTGTAAAGTATGTATACACTGTTTGATCGTTAATACCTTCCTTCCCAACAAGTCTTTTGCCCTGCTTCAGTTACCATTCTGTAGAGTGAGGTTCAACTTAGATTTGCTGTGTAGAACAAATCACCCATCTCTCTTCATTAGGTAGGATTACGGTAGAAATTTTAAAGAGGGTTTTGAGCCACAAAAGGCCATATTTTGCCTCAGAAAGGAAACAAAACAGCCTGAAAGCTTTCACACTAGGCTAATTAGAGTTGTTGATTCTAATCGTAGAGTTTTCAACTTATTATGATGCTTCATTGAAGAGTTATACCGGCTAAGTGGTAACGGCCATTTTTTAAGTGTTCCTAAAAAGTGCGGTTACACCGTCTAGAAAGCTTCGCAATCTCGTGAAGAGTTGAGTATTAAACGTCCATAAAAACCCTATTACCCTAATTTCACGCGTACAAGGCGCGGGGTGGTCCTAGCTTTCATCGACCAGCCCGAACACGGCAAAGGACTTCGCAACCAAAGGAACCCCATACCGTGCTGCGTTTTGCCTGACGAATCGTGCGGCATAAGGATCGCTTCTTGAAACACTTGGGGCGGCTGAGCAGCTCGATGAAAGCTAGGACCACCCCGCGCCTTGTACGCGTGAAATTAGGGTACATGAGTTTTCACATTTTTTAAAAGATTTTGAGACGGCAGTTTCTTCCACAGTGACACAATGTGTTTCAAGTTTCTACCGTAATCCTGCAGTAACGAAGAGCGATCGGTGATTCGCTCCATACTGTAAATTTAAGTTGAAGCCAGCTCTACAAAATGGTACCTGAAGCAAGGCAAAGACTTGTTGGGAAGAAAGATATTAATGATCAAACAGTGTATACATTCTTTACGGACACTCTGTAGACCTACTCTGCGGGCCACAAGCCATGTTGATTTGCATCGCGAATAAATTCTAAAGGATCCACTTATCGGATCGCTCGTGTTTTAGCATGGTTAGATGATGGCAGCATGTATTGTGCAGAAAAACCGCTTAAAACCTTGTTTGCAACTCATTCTTTAAGATTCGTTTCAGACAGACCTACGCACACAAAAACGTCAATGCCTTAGCCCGTTATATAAGTAAAAATTATGATTTTCAACCGTTTCGAAAATGGTTTACTCTGTTAGAAAATTTCAAGTTTCGGATAGGCAGGCGCTATACTCCTCGAGGAGTATAGCAGGGCGACGGGCGACGGGCAATCGCCAGCCGCCAGTATCGGCGTCTGTGCCTTTCGTAAGTATTGATCGCTAACAAGTTACCATATGTCCAGTCGATACGCATCCAACGTGGAGTCGCCAACATTGGCGACTCCACGCTGGATGCGATCGCCAGTTTTCGGCGACTACACGCTTGATATGTATCGATTTGACGTGTGGTAAATTGTTTGCGATGAATAGTATGTAAAATGGAGTTGCCGATATTAGCGACTGGCGATCGCCAATATCGGCGGCAAAAATCGCAGGTTTTACACGTATTTGACGCATATCGATCGTCACCATGCTATACTCCTTGAGGAGTATGGCGCCAGTCATAGAGCAGTCAAGTTTTCAGATATGAGTATCGATTGTTGTTGATTACTGGGACTATGTAACATTAGAAAGGAGCGACCGTTGTATGACTTCATCAATGCTTAGGGTAGATGAAAATAAGAATTTGTATTATTCGTACTACATTTTTCTACGTTGCAAGATTAGATCTGACTGCTTTTCGTTCCATCGAATGCTTTTCCTCTGTTGCATTTTTTCAAACGAACTCAATAGTTTTAAAGGTTAGGCCACTGTAATAAACGCTGAACAATTTTTTGCAGGACCTTATTCGTTACATATTGGAAAATGTTGTTGTCAATGCAAGTATAAAAACATAATGTGTGGCTTCTACTTGTAGGTTTATCATAACAGATACATGTGGAAAAAGATGACAGTGGCGAGCTTTTGTAGCTTCTGAGTCCCTAGCAATATGACGTGTTAACGCCAAAATTTTCTGAGAGTGTAGTTTCAAATGTCTAAGACTAGCGGGTAATCCAGATCTACTTCACAAACATGAAAAGCTGGTTACGTTTGCGCAGCAAAGCATAGAGTTTTGACGTTATATACTCCAGAATTGAACTGTTGAGAGGATATCCTGCGAGACCTTTTGCCAATTTGCGTTGCGCTTTGAAATGGAAGCTTTACATTTCGCACATGTTCGCTATCACCATATCATGAAGCGAATTAGCAATCATGCTTACATGGTACAAGAGTTCCTGGAAGACGGTATTCTTGTGGAAGAACATAAATATTTGTCTTGCCTTTCACCTCCGTTCCTTCGTCTTTTGGTGAGCTGTAAGAAAAAAAGATTACTTATGAAGACAAACCAGCTGTTCTATGTAGGATTTCTTATAATGGCTATGAATCTCTTCAGCTGCTAAGGCCTCCACCAAGAATTTTTTAGATGTGTGGAAATCAGGGAAAGTTTGATTTATAGATATTCTTACAAATAAATTTGACATAGTGCACTGTATTAGGCCGTAAAGAAAGTTCCCGAGCATTTCCAAAATTTTTCTTTCATATCGCTGTAACTCAAGAAGAGCGATCCTTTCTCAGAGCTACAAATTTCATTGCGAAGGAAATTTTATCTACTGGCTTTATTTGTTTCCAGCGCCTCATTGCGGTCCACCGGCATGCGCAGAAAGGAAAAATGTCGTCAAATGTAGCCTATTTGTGCAGGATTATCTCAGACACGATGAAAGCTAAAAGGCTCAAATGCTATAATTATATAGAAGTCTGCTGGGGCTGTTATGGAAACTAGCCTTAGAGCAACCAATGCAAAAAAAATTTTCCAGAAGGTTTGGAAAATCGATTATTTCCTGCCCCTAAAAAGGCACCTTTTTTCGAGTAAATGACTCTGAAGTCTTCTCGTTCTGCATAAGCTAAACGAAACCTATGATTACTGCGAACTCGTTGGGGAATGCTTTACACATCCTTTGAACCCATCATCTTGGCGTTTCGATCCTTGCAGAAGCGACGCCAGCTACGAAAATTGCAGCCAGAGGCCCGTTTGACAGCTTGTAATTTCTGAGCGCAAACCGCAAAATTCGAGTGCAGCTGTGGGTTAGAAGTTAACAGGCTCAATAAGATCACCCATGATGTGAAAGAAGTTCTTTGAATTGCACAAGAAAATGGCCGTAGCGAGAGCAATTGCGAAATTTTCATGGTTGGAAAAACTTTTCTTTTTGATGTGCAGATCAAACACGTTTTTGCAGCTATAAAAATCAGAAGCCGTATCGAAAACGTTAGGCTTCCCTTTACTGAGTTGTAAAGTGGTGAGCGGACGAGCGCCGAAAAAATTGAATTTCTGAAACTTTTGAAAATGATATTTCCAAAAGTGCCAAGGAACTCTTTTTACAACCTAATCGTACTCATATTTGAGCTACCTTATATAGTGTAATATCAGATTGTGAAGAAGGTTCCGGACACTTCTGGAAATTCCATTTTCTGGCGCATTTTTCTGGCTCTAGGGCAAGCACTTTGGCAAAAAGATTTTTATATTGTTGGTAGAGGAAAACATAAACTTTTTTAAATCCGAACTTTTCTGCTGCCATTTTTCTGTGCAGTTCAAAGAATTTCGTCCAAATCATAAGTGACCTGAATGGAGCCTTACAACTTCTAATTCACAGCTGCATTAGTATTTTGAAAATTGCGCTCAGAATACAAGCCGAGAAACTTGCCTCTGTGCAGCTCTTTTTACATCTGACGTCGCTTCTGCGGAAATGCCATCGCCTGTGTAATGGGTCCAAAGTATGTATGAGGCATTACTCCAAATGCCCAGTAATCAAAGATTTGGTCCTTTTTGTACAGAACTAGAAGACTTCAAAGTCATTTACTCGAAAAATGGTGCATTTGGGGGGGGGGGGGAGGGGAGGCAAAAATGGTCGTTTTTTCAGACTTTTTGGGAAAGATTTTTTGCAGGTGGTCTTACAGAAACGTGAACGGTCCCCATAGCAACCAGCCCCAACAAATCTCCATATAACTACAGCATCTAGGCTCTCCAGCTCTCATGCCTGAGATAATCCCGCACTAAGAGGCCATTTTTCGCATCAACCTTTTCCCTTTTGCGCACGCTGGTGGACCCAATGAGGCGCTGGGAAGCCAATAAACCAAATAATTGTTGTAAATAAAATTGTATTTGAAAGAAATTTGTAGCTCTAGACAGGATCAATCTGCTTGAAGTTGCAGCGATTTGAAAAAAATTTTCGCAAGTGCCCGGCCTATCTTTACGACCTAATAGATGCGTAGCAATATCACAAGCCTTCAGGTTTTTTTATTCCTCTGTAGTCTAAATCCGTCAACTTTTCCATATTTTTGCGCACATTTCGAACACCAAGAGGCCAGCATGCATAACAAGCTTAGCTGCATGTTATATGCTGGCCTTTTGGTTGGTTTTTTGCCTTGTGTGATTGTTGCCGTTCATAAGTTTAGAGAAGGGTAGGAAATGGTTGGTATCGTCTATTCCCCAGAGTATAGTGGGCAGAGCTTTACCGACGTTTGCCAACGTCGGTAAAGCTCTGCCATCCGCGTGGTCTTTTTTGATACCGAGAGATTACAAATATTAATGCTTTAAATGGAGGTTTCACAAGTTTTCAAGCGTGTTAAGATATCTGCAGGGCCGCACCTGCTATACGCATGGGAATCGGCTATAGCAATTTCGTATCGTAAAGAAGTGACTGATTACAACGAGTGCCTCAAAACTGAGATGGGGTGAGAGTAACAAAATGGAAACTTGATCGAAATCAAGTTTTAGAAATAATCTGCCGATTTTTAGCGTATGAATGTTTTTTTATATTTTGTTAAGCAAAAAAATAGCCTTTTTTGGCAGTTGTGTTTCATGTTCAAGAAAAAGTGTAATAGCGTAAAACCATCGAAGCACACAATCTATAGCTGAAAGCTAAGCGTGCTTGAGCCAAAATCAGAACATCACGGCGTATCCCGCAAAACATTTTAGTAAGACACTTGTTTTCCCACACTTGTATTTGATTCAAAAATATTCAGATTATTCAGGACATTAATGTAATGAGTCGGGCAACTTCAATGATGTTACCATATTTTACTCTGTTTTATTTGAGTCAGTTTACATGGTGCCTGCCTTCCAAGTTGTCAAGTCTTCAAAAATGCGCAAACATTCCATAGTTTGTCACCAAAAATTAGACAGCTTGAATTGATTTGTACACTCGTAGCTGTAGGATCCGGCCAAAATTGCGGGATTTGCAGGATTTAGTTATAACTTCTTCTAAAACAACTTTATTTAGAATCTGCAAGAAGATTTATCTCCATTTCGATGGGACGAATGTTTTGGTATACTCTATGCCCGTAGTCCATGGCGATACGGTAGACATATGATATTACTTTTTTGTTTTCAAAATTTGTTCATATAAGCAACAACACATGTTGATATCCTTATAACACATGCCAATACAACACAATGTACCATGGAAACGGGCACAATGTATTAGGTTGTCAAGAAAATAATGTCCGTTTTTATTTGCTTGCTTTGACAAAGCAACCAGACTCAACCCAACAAAGGGTAAGGGGTACTGTTCGATAGAGCAAAGCAAGCTCTACAAGATGGCACTCATGCCTTTGCGCCAAGCTCGATCCACGGAGAGTTCGAACTCAAAATCTAAAGATTTCCAAATGCCCAAAAAATCGAAAAATAATCAGATCTTCGTCCAGATAATTTCTACGGACCTCCCACTCGCTCACATCAATACTATCAATATCTGATATCCATATGTGCGATTGCCGTATTTTTTCCTTGACTAGAAACTGAGAAAACGAAAATTTCCCTGATTTTCTCAAAGCAATGCTGAGCCGTTTCTGCAAGTGTAGTTCTATACTACAAGCCTAGGTAAGTATAACTGTAGATTTTCAGCCCATTCCAAGCGCTAGTTTTCGAAAAATAACGAATTCGGATTTTTTCGTTTCAGTTTCAATGCTAAAATCGACATTTCTCGAAAAGTACCGCTCGAAATAGGCTGAAAATCTACAGTTATGTTTACCTAGGCTTGTAGTATAGAACTACACTTGCAGAAACGGCTCAGCATTGCTTTGAGAAAATCAGGGAAATTTTCGTTTTCTCAATTTCTAGTCAAAGAAAAAATACGGCAATCGCACATATGGATATCAGATATCGATAGTATTGATGTGAGCGAGTGGGAGGTCCGTAGAAATTATCTGGACGAAGATCTGATTTTTTCGATTTTTTGGGCATTTGGAAATCTTTAGATTTTGAGTTCGAACTCTCCGTGGATCGAGCTTGGCGCAAAGGCATGAGTGCCATCTTGTAGAGCTTGCTTTGCTCTATCGAACAGTACCCCTTTCCCTTTGTTGGGTTGAGTCTGGTTGCTTTGTTAAAACAAGCAAATAAAAACGGACATTATTTTCTTGACAACCTAATATAAAAGATAAAAAATTCATCTCATCAAACTGAAGCCAAGTCTTCTTGCAAATTCCAAATAAAATTGTTTTAAAAGAAGTTATAAGTAAATCCCGCAAATCCCGCACGTTTGGGCGGACTCCATCGCTACAAATGCAGCTCTATACGCATTCTACGCAATGCTAAAAATCAAGCGCCTTATCAAGAGAGAGGAGAATATAAGGGAAGTTGTATTAACTAAAAATTTTGCTCCTATCATTCAATATTTCTGTTTTATTCCTTTTGGTTTTTTAAAATGCATTTTCAACCATACCAGATACAAAGATGATGTGTGTAACGATAGGCCTAAAAGTCCTGCCTTCAAAGCCACTTTGAAGTGCCACACCCTCGAAAGAGCGCATATCTCTAACTACTATAACCATCAATAATTTGTAAATCTTTTTGTAATGCTTTTAATGGGCCCACACACTTTAGCTGTACTTTGGAGTTAGTCTTATACATCTGTGAGAATTTGGTCTTAATTCACAACTTTTTCCTTTTCTTTTAATTCTATGTATGCCAACAAAAAATGAAAAAAGGGATTATAGGGTCGCACCTATATTTCTTTGGAGCTGTGGAAGCTTTTTCACTGCAATTTTACTTTATTATGAATCCGTTTTCCTATTATCTATCGTGAAAATCAGGCCGTTTCGCGCCTCCAATGAGTTACAAGTATTCAACCTCAAAAATCCCAATTTGGTTTTTAGGATCGCTTCTAATTTTGCTAAAGTCGCATTAAATATTTTCGAGCTCACTGATCCTTAATGCCTGCAATTTTGTCCTTCAATTGTCCGTGCACTCTACAACATAAACTGTTGATTGAACCCCCTTATCCTTTCCCCTACTTTGATTACGAAATCTCAGATGTCGTGCTCATGCACGTTTTTGACATCATTCTGAAAAGCGCTAAAGTAAGAGAGTTCACGAGAAAATCTGCGCAAAAAAAGAGAATAAGTTCTTCGATCACAAACATTTTTAGCGCCTCAAAAATAGCATTCTGAGTTTCTGCACAAGGGTGTCGCATACGGCGATCGAATTCAAGACCATCATCGTGGTCTAAAGCGTTCTTATCACCAAAACCATAGTAAATGTCTTTCGGTACACTTTCAGTCACTTAAACTCTTTCAGTCACTTAGGCCCTATGCACGTACCTCCCAGCTGGGGAGGAAGGGGATTTGAGAGTAGATGCATCACATCTCGCTACTTTACGTATCTTTCTTCTCCTTTCTATATTCTGCTTATACAGCTTTTCATACTTATACCTGCGCATAATGGATGCCAGAAGTAGAATCGATATTCATCAAAAGCACTAACCCAATGGGTTCCGGAACCCACTGGGTTCGTAGATGAATACGGCCATTGTAGTCAAAACCGCTCAAACTCATTCTGGAGTTTGCTTTGCATATTTGTGTTCAAGAAGTTAGACTTGTTACTTACCCACGAATGATTCGCTTCAAATAAAGGAAAAAAAGGACCAAGCCCGTCGATCACGCGTGTAGAGCGTTCTTGAGTATTCAAATCTTAGATTGAGTTGATAAATATAGCATCTCACAAAACGACAATTCACTGTTTCTATTCAAGCACTTCTGCTGTGATCGCTTTCTTTAGACAACATTTTTGAATCGAGCAAACTTGAAGAAAATAAACTAGCTAGCAAAATAAACTCTACAAGATTATTTGAGTATCGAACCAACTTTGAAGTTTGGTCGCAATAAGAAAGCTTAAGAATTTTAAACGAGGAAAATCGACTCCGTTTAAAGAACATTGAAATCTTTTACTCGTTCACGCCTCTACATCTCACTTCAGATTTATTTGTACATCCTCTGTTTCTTTCTTCTGCTAGAAAAAGAGTAAATTTTGTGCATATGCCAAAGAAGTGCTGCCTTTCCACTAGTAATACTGTACTACAAGCCTTTGTGGGTACGTCAATTTTACATTATTTTGCAGCTTATTTGAGCTCTACAAGACATACTTTACGTATTGCTTTTTCGGCTTTGTAAATGTGTTTTTTTGCAATTTTTGGTTTCACATGTTTTTGCCAATTTTTAAACTGAAAACTAAAATAGTATTCCTACACGTCCCGAAGGCTATTTTACTTTTGGATCACTGAGTTGCTGATAGGCCAAAAACTTACCGTAGTAAGAATATCACTATGATGCTAACGATAACAAGAATACCGATTGTAATGCAAGCTGACACATACAACCATTTCTTTGAACTCCTTGCTGTCTGCTCCTAAAACTATAGTCTGATTGCGTGAAGCGGTTGCGAACTTGAAAGTGTGGGATGTTACGTAAGTGTTACACTACAGTAATGTTATGCGCAGCAAGTTATATCTCTCCCAAATCTGAAAATTCTACTGCTCTACAATAGAGCAAAATAAACTCTACAAGATTATTTGAGTATCAAATCAAATTTGATGTTTATTCGCAATAAAAAAGATCAGAACGTTTGAAACGAGAAAAACCACTTTGTTTTGTAAAACCCTAGAAATCTCTTACTATTTCACGCCTCTACATCTCACTTCAGATTTATTTGCATATCCCCTGTTTCTTTCTTCTGCTAGAAAACGAAAAAATTTTTTTGCGCAATGCCTAAGAAGTTCTGCCTTTCCACTAGTAATAATGTACTACAAGCCTTCGTGGGTACGCCAATTTAGCGATACTTCTCAGGCTTATTTGAGCTCTACAAGATAAACTCTACGTATTAGCACATCGCCGATTCATTTACAACTCAATATTTGTATTGCACACCACACGCGCTACTTGCGTTGATCGTCTTGGTAATTATTCCTTGTTTCCTTCTCTTTTTCCATTCGGATTTATTGTTAGTAATGAGTTGTTCGGAAATTGATGCAAGTTTCTGTAAGTGTATTTTGAAAGCAATCGTTCACTTGTATTGCGCTTCTTATGACCAGCTTCGCGCAATGCGCAATAGCTAAAAGCGCTTTCTCTGCTCTTCTTGTACGTTTTGCTTGGTTTGTTAAGTCCGCCTTTTTAGATTCTCTAAGCCCTTCTTTATGCAACCTTCGAATAGTGGTTTTTGCTATGCATTGTTTTGACTTGAACTCTTTCTTCAAGAAAGATGACTCTATGATAATATAGTTAGAAAATGCTGACTTGTCCTACAAAACCTATAGTAATGCGTCTTCTTAATCGTTGCAGCAGAGATGTTGACGTCCAAACGTGATCAGCAGTCGTGGCCATCTACACTCCCATAAAACCCTTCTAAGAAAAAGGAATTTTAATGTCTCCTTGTGTGTTACCAAAAAAAACCAGAGTTATCAGGAACTGATGGACGTGGAAACTCCTAGACTGTATTGATAGTGAAAAAAAGAGAAATTGGGAATTTGAGAAGCTTAAAGTCTACAAAAACAAGAATGATGGTCCATTTTGACATTGCAAATTTTTAGAGGTCCCTGAGAAATTTTGCATGACTATTCTGCGGTACTGGTCGTGGCTACGCGCTATAAAAAATCCCTGCCAAACACTATATCCTATGAGGATTATCATTTGTCAAAAAAGAGCATGTGGAGATGATGAAATGTATGCTTTCCAGAAGATTTCAAAATGATACTTTGCGACGAAACCTGGAATGATATCCACGAAAGTCCATTTGAAAATGGGCTTTTCGCGAATGAAACGCGAATAAAATGGGCTTAGTCCCTGGATATCGCGTTCGCGAATCCATTCATTCCATATAAAAATGCTTCAGCAAACGTTTCTTCAACTTGCCTCAACCTGTTTACTCACTCTTGCAAACTCATTCCCACCAAGTGGTCGATATCTAGGCTGATCTAACTTTACTATATCAGTCACGTGGATACTCCGTTCTTTTCCATTTCATTACACCTCATAGAATGTCATTTATTAACTATGACTATGCAATTAGTTTCAGTCCATCTAAAATCCAATTAATATCAGGGCATTCGCTCTTCAAAACTTTTATGAATCCGCATTGAATCAAATTCGTATGTGGAGTTTCCAGCAGAAAGCAAACTTTGGCTAGACTTGCATTGCAATTTGTGAATCAAAATGCTCATCTCACAGAAAACCTTGTACTACACTACAACACAAAGGTTTTTAAGCTGGAAAAACTTTGGATCTGCAAAAAATTGATAGCTTCTCTGCTGTACTTTAGCAACCCCAAAGCTTTCATGCAAATATGGCGTTTGATATATGAAGCTGTTTTTCTTGCATCAACTGTGTGAGTTTGAGGAGTGGATACTAGAATGATGACAAAGTCACTGAATTCAATTTTGCGTTTAGAACTTATCTAGGCATATACTCTGATCCCAAGTCATATGTGCTTTTGATGATCAAAGTTGCTTGGAAGAAGTGCTACGAACAACTGAAGCAAAGCGGACTCATATCCGTCTCAGCATATAGGGAATGCTTGAACCAATGCCTTTTGCTGTTGGCAACCTTATTATAGATTTTGAACAGAATTCAAATTAACCGATTGTTGGAAAAGCTCTCGCGTAATCCAGTATCAATCAGGTAGCCTTTTTTCACAATCCTAATGTGTTGCTCTGTGCTCGAAAATAAAACAGAGTTCGCTTCGACGTTTTGGGTATTGAAAAGTGTCTTCGGTGACAAAATGACGTATCGAGAAGATTTTCTCTATAAAATGACTTGTTTAATTTTGGTAAATCGCGATTTTTTTTATATTTCCATACGAGAGCAAGAAGTAACTAATGTATAGACTATAGCTATAAGAAATTTTTCACAGAATATTCTGACTTGCTACCGGTACTTCAGTACTTCTTGCTACTAAACTCAAAAAGGCGAATTTTGAATTGCCGTCTTTGTGTCTGTCTGTCTGTCTTAACTGTCTACGAAAAAAATCTTTCGAGAATGAACATGGAGGTGAACTCCATTTTGCCCCATTCTAAAATGGACTTTTGACGTCATCTTCCGCGATAGCTCAAGTAAGCTTGAATCATTTTCATTTCACCGCTATGCCTCGCGGTTGCGATGGGATGAAAAATTTTTGGATATCGTAAGCGGGAGCCGATTTCGACCACTTTCTAACGCGAACGAATAGAATGGACTAAGTAAGTCCATTTTCCTCCATTATGGACTTTCGTGGATATGAGCCCTGCATCCTTTTTCGAGTGACATTATAGTACACTTCTACAATTTGTTATACTGGAAAGGTTATAGAGAGTTACTAATAAGGGTGTGGTCGATTGCAGCGCATAGTGTGCAGATAGTGGTGATAACCGAAAGCCTGAAGCCAGAACTAATAAATGTTTATGGCACAATCGGATTAATTGGACTTTAGCACAAAAAAATTTCAAAATTTTCCTTGCCTGTTTTTGCAGATACATGTACTGATCCATATGTATACAATACCGCCCATAGTTCGTCAAAAAAGTTGCCGGAGAGCAACGCAGTCCACTAGAGTCCGTCGAAATCCGCGTTGCATCGCCATATCTCGCCTCAGAATGAAATCTGAATCCAAGAACACCGTTCGCTTCAGCTTGGCGAGACGCATCATACGGTGTGCAGATGTGCCGTATCTATCGATGTACTTTAGGTATGCGGTAGGCAGTAAGTTTCGCTTAGTTTTGCACATTTTTGTTTTGTTAAGTTAGTAAGTGTGCTGATCATCGCCATTGATTTGCTACTGATGGCACATCGTGCGGATACTGTTGGAGTATGGTAAAGAGTCACTTTGAACTTTGATCAATTTGTTCTGAGTCCAGCTCAGGGTATCTGATGCACTTATTGCGTTAGTTGCATTCATGTGATGCTCAGGGCACGATGCGCAGGGATCTGCGATGTAAGGTCATTTTGATTGCCTGCTTATAGTTGCTCTCACTTGTTGCTCGTTGCTTATAGTTGCTTTTACGTGTTGCTTGTTCTAAACAGAAGATCGCATGTCGTACTGGCCATCTGAAACGAAAAGGTGTCATCAAATGCGCCTTGGTGAGCTGATTCCTAATCTACTTTCTCTCCCTATTTGCTGAAGTAGTAGTAGAAGTTGTAGGCGTCTCCAAACTTCGCAAACAATCAGTGTCACACCAAAAATTAGCAGTACAAGGACCCTTCATTATGATCTAATGAAATTTTTGCTCTTTGTAGTAAGTACATACAACATCATACCAATTATGGTCTTTCGAATTGGTCCTTAAAGTGATAATAAGCAGACGTAGCTCAATGACTCTATTCCTTAAACCGCTACTTCTCTCAGAGACTCGTTCAGCAGCTAGGAAAGGTAGATATCCTTATCAAGACGCTTTGGATATGCGTTTTTACCAAGCTCGACAGTTGTGATCTTAAGGTTCTGTTCCATAGCAGCTAATAATCATCATGACGTCATGCCGTATTGTACGATCAATGTTGTTACTTAACTTACATGATATAGTTGTGTATAGTAAACATAACATTTTCGTGGGCACGTGTTTTCACCATAACATATCGCAACGCACATTGCGCGTAAAAAGTTTTAATAAGTCTTTTTCAATAGAGCTGGGTCCACATAACATCCTCGACAGTAAACTAATTAGAGGTTTTTCTCCAAAAAGAGTGGTGAATTTCGGGAATTTCAAGGTCTAGAACACATCAATTTACCGTAAGTTTACAGCAGCACCTTAGAAAGCGAATTTTGCGTTAGCACTGTTACATGCATGCCATATTGCCTATCGAGCTGAATTTTGTGCTGTTCTGAGGTCTTCACTTCCGTTCCGCACCCGCTTTATGTAAGTTCGCAACTCAATGCTTTCTGTAAATGGGGCTCCGGTAAGCATCGCGCGATAGAGCAGCCTCCCTAGTTTTTAGTAATAGACGAAAGGCGCAGGAAGTCTATTCCGTGAGAGAGTAAATGGCTGGCAATCTTTAAAGAAATCCATGTTCACATAAAAACTGCCTACCATAGCCCTACAGCAAAAAGCTATTAGGTTGGAAACTAAGTTTTGCAACTACTTTCATAACTCAACTCTCTTTGGTTGCGGCGCACTCAAATTTGGGCAGTATGTAGAGCGTAATGTGGGCTACATTTGACGAATTGTTTGCATTTTGATAACGAATTAGAAAAATATCAGGTATTTTTCGAAAACTAGTAAAATTTGGGAATTTTTGGATTTCAATGCAAAATGATGTTGTTAGCAGTCTAAACCATCCGCAATAATCCGGAATCGTCTGCTAATTGTTGCTAAAGGTTGACTTATTCGGCTCAGCAAGAAAGAAATAAAATTTAGAGGCAAGTCGAGATTTGCCGCCCTCATGATC